TAATCTAAACATAAAGGGCTGATAATCTGAATACAACAAATAGGCTGAAAATGGAAGAGACATAAATGCACATTTCATTGGAAAAAGCAATAGAATTTAATGAATGACTGGAAGAAGAGAGGTGATCAAAAGAAATTATTAACTATTCAAACTGGAATAATCAGAAAAATAGTGGCAGAACTCGGAAGGATGGAAAACTGGAAATGTTAAAAAGATAAAGAAAAATGATACAAATAAACTTTTTTTGGCTTTGAAATCACATGATACTTCTCTACGCCAATAATCTCAACTTGTTTCTAATAAACACATTTGAACTGTTTGAGTTTCCATATACGCATTAATTTAGCTTTAGCCTGAATTCTTCTTTAAAGGTTAGTTGTGATTTTGTGACTATATATTTACAGATGCATTTATCTGAAGAATTAGAGATTTCATAAGTGTCTGAATAATAAATTTCTTCTACAAATGGGAATTTACAAAGACTCATTTTACAGATGAGAAACTAAGGCCTGGGAAGTTAACAGTATTGTTCTGAATCACATAAATAATAATAATGAGTAATAATACACATTGCCGGCTAGATAACCCGTTCTGTCCTAAGAAAGCTGTGCATATTGACTGAGTTAACCTCACAACAAACCCTATCAGGTTACTACTATCGGACTACCATTCTTTTTTTACAGTGGGAGGATACGACTCTGAGAGATAAAGAAATATCTTAGGGTTACACAGCTATTAAGTGGAACAGCTGGGATTTTAACCCATGTGTTTGGGTTCAAGGGTCTTTTATATGCTATATAATACTGCCAATCCAAAGGGGGAAATCGAGAGGGACCAATTGTGGTGGCTTTTAATTCTGAAGATTATGCACACTATTCAAATACTACACTTAAGGATTGTTATTTAATGAAAATAATTTTAAAAGAATGCTGTTCCACTTTCATTGTAGGGACGATTATTATTCCTGTACACCGAATTGAAACTTTAAAGGATTTACATCTTTTCAAAATAACCCAATACCCACACAGTGTCTTACACATTTGATAAAACCCTTGAACAACAAAGTTTTCCATAAATGAAGAACTGTATTTCCTTAAACTATAATGATGTATTTATATAATTTGAGCAGTGACAGATGCAACTATATTTGAGCTGGGAAATCAAGAGGTGTCTTTATAGATCTCAGAAAACCCTTTGGAGGGAGTGGAGAAGGTATTGTCTAGTTTTTAAATAGAGAAGAGGAACAGCTGCAGTCCCACTTTCTCCATCTTGGATGAGTTGGGTCAGGTATCATGTGGGTCTTAGGAAGAATGGAGGCATAGCGTCATTGACAACCTTTACATATCAAGCCGCCTTTACTATCAAACTTCCCTCAGTTTTTGCAACATAGTTTTATGTTTTAGACTAGGATGCTTGCAAAACAAAAGAAAAAGAATTCATTATGCTCCTAGAAAAAGAGGAAAAGGGGTCAAATTGGCTACAGGAATGTAGATTTTGAGTTAAATGTATATAATTGAAAATAAAATAGTTTTCTAAACAAATAAA